AAAACTCCAAAGCACCTAAAATTCGTGTAGAATGAATTATTATTTTGTTATTGTTAGCGGAGCCTTGACAAAACGACAGCTTTCAATAGCTTGCAAGTCCTGCGTTTCTTGATATTGTTTTATTTCTAACAAATCACCTTATATTCTCTCATGTTATGAACCTAATATGTTGAGGGACAATTGTTGTGTTATTTCAAGCGCAGCAAATTCAATTTTGCCACGGCATGCATCCCTCTTTTGTGCGGCGGTGTTCGAAACGACCTTGTCTTAAGGAAGGTCTAGAGAGAGAGAGAGAGAGACATGCAATGGCTCTGAAGTTCCTGCCTGCATTTTTGATCAAGTGCACGTGCATGAGGACACTGGAGCGCGTCCCAGTGCGTCGTTTGCTGGGAATTTAAATGCTCTTGGCCGCACAAACCGCATTAATTGTGTTTCTCAAAACGCTGTTCAAGTCGCGGTGGAAGCGTGCACGATCCTAATGTAGGGTCGTATTTGCAGTGTAATGAATAGCGAGATGTTATTCGAACGGTACCCTGGTACGCTCGATATTTTATCATTTATATCTGTAAGATGTTTATGGAAATTCTCCGCACCTGAGATGATGTCAGCCTATTATGTATATCGATCAAAGTCAAGTCATCCCCGGAGGAATAAAGGGCTGAGTCAATCCCCGACGGGGATTTAAATGAGCAAACTTTCCAATACGGAGCGAATTTCACAACACCACTGGGTGGTATTTGTTACATTGAAGCCGAACAATTATCACTGTGACACTGTCTCAGACACACTTTATAGCAGACACAACTCAACCCACGGCTGAAGTTTCCTTACTCTGGCAGAAAATAAATTGAGATATTAATCGTGAAGAATACCCATATTCTTGACGCTCTTGCCTTTGGTAGCCTCTGACAAATTACCCAACATTGCAGAGTAACAATTTATCGAAATATATATAATTTTTTTGCAACTGAAGTAGTAGTACAGTAGTCTTCCGTGTTTTATATTGCGTGTGGATTAAAAAAAAAAGATATGTTTATTTTTTCAGAAAAATAACTTACTTAAAATTGTAAATTGTCTATTTTTTTTTAGTTCACAAGGTCATGTAATTGCGTGCCTACATGCTTCACTTTATGCATTTTGAAAACAGCGTTTTCTTTGTGAAAATAAAAAATAAAATGTTCGTGGAATGCGTGCGGTCACTTGACAACTTAAATGTGCTCGAGGAAAAGCGCAGAACCTTGGTGAGGTCGTTGACGGTGGAGAGAAAAATTATATCCATAACTTGTGGTAACAAAAGCCTCTTATTTTCTATTTGTCAACATTGTACATTTCAAACCCTATGACGGCAGTTCATTAAAAAGTGACACAACTTTACGAATCAGAGGAATTCACCAGCAAAATAGTTTTTTGGATCGGGATATTTAAAACTATCCCGGATCAAACGTTCGTCTCCAGGTAATCAAGTTTGCAGACATATATGGACCATGTATAATTTTGGATGTCGTTGCAATGATAAACATTCCAGCAGCGTCCTTCACGTACAACAATGGCTGCCGCTGCGCCCTCCTTGGGGAGGTGTGAGTCCACCGCTCGCTTTAGGACCCCCCAGCACGTAGTTGTAGCGCTGCCCCACGCTTCGCTGCCTTTGAATTAGAATTTACAAGTGGTGGCCCGGTGGGCGAAAACCACGATGCAGTACCGTATGTGGAACTCCATTGCACCTTTCCACATACAAATACAGGCACATGTTTAGTCCACCACCATATTGGCTTTCCAGAGCAACATTGCCCAAGCAACATTTGTTTGAGCCAGCAGGGTCTTGACCGGTTTCAACCTTCTGGGTATCATCAGCCGAGTCCGACTCGTTAAAGATATGCTGCTGGTTTACCAGACGTTATTGGCAAGAGCACTCCATATAAACTACGGGAAACACATTCAATGCAAAACGCAAATCACCGTACGGAAACTCATCATGCGTTGCCGTGGGGTCAGCAAAAGAAGTGTAAAATACATACACACATCACGCGTAAAATACATACACACATCACGTGTAAAATACATACACACATCACGTGTAAAATACATACACACATCACGTGTAAAATACATACACACATCACGTGTAAAATACATACACACATCACGCGTAAAATACATACACACATCACGTGTAAAATACATACACACATCACTAGTAAAATACATACACACATCACGTGTAAAATACATACACACATCACGTGTAAAATACATACACACACCACGTGTAAAATACATACACACATCACGTGTAAAATACATACACACATCACTAGTAAAATACATACACACATCACTAGTAAAATACATACACACATCACGTGTAAAATACATACACACATCACGCGTAAAATACATACACACATCACGTGTAAAATACATACACACATCACGTGTAAAATACATACACACATCACTAGTAAAATACATACACACATCACGTGTAAAATACATACACACATCACGTGTAAAATACATACACACACCACGTGTAAAATACATACACACATCATGCGTAAAATACATACACACATCACGTGTAAAATACATACACACATCACGCGTAAAATACATACACACATCACGTGTAAAATACATACACACATCACGTGTAAAATACATACACACATCACTAGTAAAATACATACACACACCACGTGTAAAATACATACACACATCACGTGTAAAATACATACACACATCACTAGTAAAATACATACACACACCACGTGTAAAATACATACACACATCACGTGTAAAATACATACACACATCACGTGTAAAATACATACACACATCACTAGTAAAATACATACACACATCACGCGTAAAATACATACACACACCACGTGTAAAATACATACACACATCACGTGTAAAATACATACACACACCACGTGTAAAATACATACACACATCACGTGTAAAATACATACACACATCACGTGTAAAATACATACACACATCACTAGTAAAATACATACACACATCACTAGTAAAATACATACACACATCACGCGTAAAATACATACACACATCATGCATAAAATACATACACACATCACTAGTAAAATACATACACACATCACTAGTAAAATACATACACACACCACGTGTAAAATACATACACACATAAAGTGTAAAATACATACACACATCACGTGTAAAATACATACACACATCATGCGTAAAATACATACACACATCACATGTAAAATACATACACACATCACTAGTAAAATACATACACACATAATGCGTAAAAACAAATAAATCCAGAACTCCGTTCTGTCACTCCACGTGCAGTCTAAGTAAAGCATATATATAGTCCATCAGCTTGTTGGATTTCCAGACCAATATACCGTGCTGTAAATATACTGGTGGGGCACGGAAGTCTGTAGGGGTGGTAAGGAGGAGAAGAGGGGGGTGGAGAGGGGGGTGGTGCAGTAACCCATGTGGGGAGCGGTGGTGCAGTGGTTAGCGCAATGCGCTTCGAAGCCAGCGAACCGAGTTCGATTCCCACTCACGGCCAACACCAGTAACGATTATCTGAACCGGCGCTGGGCCTCCTCGAGGTCGACTGAGCCTCAAATTCGTACCTGGGTGCGAAGCGCTTTGGGAACAGCGCTATGTAAAATCCAAGATGAGATAAAATGCGTAAGCATCGCCACTAGGGAAACAAAGGCGGTCGGCCATAGTGCTGGCCACCCACCCCCTCGTTTTTCGTGACAGCCTCTATGGGTGCTACTCGCTACTAACACCACTTGCCCCCCCCCCTCTCTACAGTATGTTGCAGGCTATACGGTGAGGTCACTCACAAGCACACGTTGGAGCACAGCAGTGAGGGGTGCTTTGGCTGCTTCCAACCCAGATAACCCCCCCCACCTCCGCCCCAATAGAACGGCATGCAGGAGCCCTATCACGAGGACCCGCAGTGTGATGGCATCCCCAGCACGTGGTGGGGCCCTTCTGCGATCACCTGCCCTTGGGTTTACCAGAGGCTGCCGCCACACACGGCACCGTAGTCTTAAGATCCCGTTAGGAGCAGCTTTACCCTCGCACGACTGTCCTTCACCTGGTGCAAAGGGCGTAACTAACATGCGGTTTAGAATCTTTATCACGAGCGGGTGGGCAATCGTTGGGCCTCGTGCACACCGGGCCTTGATGAGACGAGACACCGCTTAGCGTTACGCTGGTCTTCTGCACGGCGGAATGTTATCATCACTCCAGCGTGCAATGTATATTCATTGCAATCATCAGAGGACCGATGAAAGGAATTGTAACAAAATGAGACAGTTGAACTTTTGCCATTATAGGGTGGGAATATGTTTTCAAAATATGATCACCAAGCAATTTTGAACACCAGGACAAAGGCCGGCTGTCATTTGATTCGAGTGATATTGAGTCTGGAAAGGTGACCACAACTTTGCTGCAGACCTGTTTCAACAAATAGTATGAATGTCAACACACATTAGGGATATCAATTTCAAATTATGAGGAAATCAAATTGTGCAGCCACCTCTTTGGGGAGGGCAAGGTAATGTGCCTCGGGAAGACGTGAACCCCATCGTCTCGACCGTGGACTTGGACGTGCGGTGCGTGAGTGTGTGTGTGGGGAGCGGTAGTGTAGCGGTTAGCGCGCTGCGCTATGGACCCAGCGACCCGGGTTCGATTTCAGCTCACGGCCAACACCAGTGACGATTTTCTGAACCGGACTTGGGCCTCCCCTAGGTCGACTCAGCCTCAAATGAGTACCTGGTGCGGTGTGTAAACATTGCCACTAGGGAGACAAAGGCGGTCGGGCGTGGTGCTGGCCACCCACCCCCTCGTGTACCGTTCCGGCCTTCATAGGTGCTCGCTAACAGCACTTGCCCCTACAGTCTGTTAAGCCTTTCTGGGGGATCTTTAACCTTTGCGTGTGTGCCCGTCGGTGAAATTTGTTGTGGGTTGCAACACGGTACCGGCAATCATTGGTCCTCTCCACCTCGAAGTGCGGGTTGAAGTTGAGGATGATGCGCTGATCGCTCTGCGGGGCCTGGACCAGCCACTCGCACATGAGGTGCGCGGGGTAGTCCTGCGGGTAGCCCGGGGACATGACGTAGCCCGGCTCGCCGGCGGACAGCTGCCAGTTGCACGGCACTGCAAAGTCAAGCATGGGTGGGTGGGTGGGGGGAGGGGAGGGCCAGAGGGGAGACGGACAAAGGGGACAGCAAGGGCTTAGAAGCGGCACATCCTCCCCACTGGGGAACGGAGAGCCCGGGGTGAAAAAAAATAATTTGTTTAGTTTGAACAAATACACGGCTTGTGGGAGATTGTACCCTAGAATGATGCACGACGTGCCTGAGTTTCTGCTCATCAAATGTTAAAACTAAATTTAGATATGACAATGTGTTATACTGGGTACAGAATAGAGTAATCAACGTACAAGTTAAATTGCCGAGCTTGTGTGGATATGGTCAACGCAGACAATTAAAAGGTTTAGGTTTTGTTGAAATATTAAAAAATAAGTATTGTTAACAACTTTAAAGTCACAGTTAACGTTGTATTAATGTTACTAAAATCGTTACAGCATCGTCAGATACATATATTTGAGTTGACTGCATACGGGATTATAGATTCAGTCCTACAAACAAAAAGCAGGCATTATTACACAATGTACATTCACCAATATCTGTTCATAATGACTGTGCTGTCGGGGTTATGTCAGGAGGCAAAGAATACTTAGGCACATCAGATCAGATCAGTAAACAACCCGGATAACAACACCACGCAAACTTCATCGAAGGCCTTTATTATTAATAGTCGTTTATTCCCTGCCGCTAGGTGGGACCGCTTGTATTGTGGTCGTTAAAGATTAGTTTGCAGTTAGTGCAGCACAGCAGAAGCACCTCCGATTAGCACGGCTTGCGATGTGCGGTGCGAAATAAGTGCAACATACAGAAGTGTGATCACGAATGAGATCGCTAATATGTCTTTCACAAGTCAGCAGAGACATAATAGCCCCCGTCATATGAATGTGGATTTTTTTTTTTTACCACTGGCTCATTTGAGCAGGAAATTACTTTTGAGTGCACGACAATACCGAGGGATAAAACGTGAATTTGGTTACAGGCAAACGGACGTTCAGAGTTCTACGATTTCCATCGCGGTATTATTTTTAGCTCTAGCCTCACATCCGGACGGCTGTAATTGTAAAATGACGGGTTCACATCTTGGTCAGGGGTTAGCTCAGTTCATCATCCCTCCGGGTTTCATGACACACAATACGCGCCGCCTTGTGAGACGTCAACACCCAGTGCTCAACTAACCGCTGCCCTAGGAAGGTGGAATTTTCACTTCGTTGAGTCATCATTTGTGGTCAGATCGCTTCTGAAAAAAGTAAGATAATGGCTCAGTGGGCCTTAACTAGTAACACTTTTTTTGGCAGTTATATTTATATGTTTAAAGTTATTTCTTTACTTTGCACTCTTATCGTTTGTTTGTATTGTTTGTTGTTGTAACGTTCTGACCTGCCCCTACTCGACATACAGCTCACAGGATTCCTCGAGTATCAATAAATATTCTGATTCATTGCCGACTGAATGCCACGGAACATCCACGTGCATTTGAGCGTGGAGCGTGGAGGTGCTGTGACTCTTAACATTTGTTTAAGAGATTTCAATGATGCACGTGGGAAATATTTGCATCAAAAAGTGGCGTGTCCTATTACTCATTAAGTAAAACACACTGCCTTGCTTAGGAATACAATAGATCACATTTTTTAATATGCCAAAAGTAACGAAATATGCCAATTACATTTTTTTCCACATTTATTTGTTTGGTGAAAGAATCAAATCATACGACTCGTGTAATATAGAACGCAGGTTATGCACATACCATTTAATGTTTATGATTTGATTGCAAAAAAAGAATGTTCTTTTCTCCAAATTGCTTACCCAGTAAACGTGTAACGTTGGGCCAACGTTAGTTAATTTCCAACCACATGTAAACATTGCTGCGACGTTGCGTTTTTACTGAGTTCTTCCCACCAATCGACTTCATCTGCTCTCAAGCCACGCCTTTCAATCCATCGCCCATCAACGTGCTATTTGTATACGCAGAGCGATGTATGGGCCTGCATTAATATAATTCACTTCCCATCTAATCTAATTCATTTCCCATTTCCTTCTCTCATCATACTAATTCCCTTCGTGTCCTTATTCGCGTGGCCAATGCCCAGTGCTTCATCTCTGTCTCCTTTCGAGATGCATTTTCGTAAAATCTCAACTCTTTATTTGTGGACATGAAAGCGGAGTGTGTCGATGATGTTAAAGGTCATACGGGGGTGGAGAGGGGGACGGCTGTGTGGATCCTCGGAACTGATGTCCACGTTCGGTCGCTGAGCAGAGACAAAAAAAAAATCGGGTCGTCGTTTCATTGATGGGCTGCCACCTGCGTTCAACCTAGGCTCTCATCTTAGAACGTATACTATGTATTTTTGTTGTTTTAACTTCAATTGAATTGGTCTAGTTGTGCCATGAGCACTATTTTTTTTGTTATTTATAAAGCTGTTGCATGATCTACACGTGGCGAACCCCTCTAAGTGTAGCTCTCAATAGGAAGGCTGCGAGTGAAACTCCTGCTTGGGGCTGATTCAGCCCATCGTCCTTTTTGGTGCCAATAAAATTGAGTTCCAATTTGTGGGGAAGGCAACAGTGGTTGTCTTATTGATGGACTCCGCCGCCACCATGGAAATGTGGAATTTACACCCCTGGCACGGGGCTATAAAACAGCAGACGCCGGGATTGCTCAATTGACCATCAAATACATTTTGGCCCGAATTTCGAGCTTCTCCACGGAATGGGTGAAAGTGCCGGTCCAAGCGTTGGCCAAGTCGGGGCTTTGAAGTGACTCCCAGAAGTGCCGAAGCGGCATCATCTGGAGTTGTTCCCTGGCATCCTGTGCTGCACTCTTACGGGAGCTCTGATTATAATACATCTGCTTACTTAGCAACGTGACTCAATAATAGCACACTTGGGACACAATCAGTGATTTAGCATAAACCATTACAACCGTTCTCTCTGCAACTCCTAACAAATTGGGAGCGTCTCACACTCGCTCTACGAGCACACTCTTCCGCAGCTACTGTCAGCGCGTTTGTGCGCGAGTGTCATTGTGTTCTGCATGTTGATAAGTTCATGGGTCTGCACAAGTGCAGTATGCTAGTACCGTAGACTGAGAAGAATGGTTTTAAGAATTTTCCCCTCCTTCGTATCTATGTTGTTTTTGAACTTATTTCGCACCGTACGTAGCCAACCGTGCTACTCGGAGGTGCGGGGGAAGGACAACAAACTGAACACGAAAGGCAGTTCTAGAGAAATTAGTTTACAATCTTTAGGTTTCAACGTGCGCAGCTCCAGGAAGAGCGTTCCAAACGGCCGCAGAAGTGCATCTGAAAGCGCACGATGCAAGTGACCGCCTTTGTTCGATGGCTTATATTCGAGGCACTTGTAAGGGAGTCTTCTGTTTGTGTTTCCTTGAGTCATTGTCTACCCCAGTGTTCAGGTAGCTCAGTGTTAAGTGTTTTGTTGCAGTATTTTGGAATATATGGCTGCCTTATTACTGCAGCCGTAGGGCCTTGACTGCTGATGTAATCAGTGTAATATAACAGGTATCTGTCTTTCTTTGTATCTCAATGTAGTGGATTATCTACGGCTGTCTTCACATCCCTGTTAATGTTCGCAGGTGCGACGGTGTGTTTCCATGTCCTTTGTGTTCAATGACATCTCTCGGAAATAATTGCATTGTCTCTGTCACTCACTGGGTGATCATCTAAGTGTTACTGAATGTCTCTTGGCGTACCTGCTTTGTCGTAAATGTTCCCAATTGTATTCCAGGTGTGCTCTGAGTGCAATGCCACGATACGCTCCATTCAGAACCCTGACAAGGCAGTGCATTAGAGAGCGGCCCACAAAAGGTGACATCACAGAATGACTTCTGAGATTCATTCAAGCGACTTCTAATCCACACTACGGACCCTGCACTTTCCCACGCACAATGACATAATTTCAAACTTCTAGGATCCCTTCCAGTTACTTTGATTCGCACAGCAAGGGGCACACTTTCCAACGTGCCCTGCTACGAAATAAATGTTCATCATTTGAGAGAGAAAGACTTGATGTTTCTGTTTGAAATCTCAGAGTTAGTATCTAACCGAATTATGTGCAGGACCAAATTGAACGTGACGGGCTTTTGTTCCAGTAATTGATGACCAAGCTGAGACAATGAACGTGCTACGCTTGAGAGCCTGGTTCAATCCACGGGTGTCGTTGCCTCAAATGTTTTTAACTCTGCCGCCATGTAAAGCCATGCATTCTGAAATCTCTCCCGTGCTTATTAGTATTTATGTAACCTAGTGCCTCTCAGAATACCTCTGTGTGTGTGTGTGTATGTCAGCACGCCTCACCCCCTCTCAGCGTTTCGTAATGTTGCTCAATATTCATCGGCATGCCTCCTTGTAGCTCGGTGCAGTGAAGTGCGCTGCAGTTTATATCAGTCTTTCTCGGCATATGTCGGTCCTCATTAGCGTGCATTGATGGGTTCCGTATATAATCGACACAAGCGTTGCACCAAGCACACTCGCGTCTGTGCAGCAGCATCAACGGTTCCCGAGAGGAACGGTGGCCTCGGTCCAAACCCTGGCCACGATGTGAACTTCCAGCCCTCCTCTGGCCACGGCAGCACCACCACCACCTCGTTGTTTTTTACCGCAATAAAAGCCTCCTCTTCCTTACGCTTCCCAGTGAGGGTGGCATTGTTTGAGTGCCTGCTTTAACCACAGCCTCGTGTAATCTACGTGCCTTATGCAAAACGGTTTTCCTTCGTTGACAAGCCTTATCGTGACAGCTGTTCGTCATGGGATATCATGGTGCTCTGTTGGTTGCCGGCAATCAGCAGGAACTATAAAGGCACTTTGCGCAGGTTATTTTTAATCTCTGCTTTGGAGTAATGTATTTTCCCCATTTGGCCTTCCTTGTTGAGGTAGATACACACCTCATATATGCTTACATTTGATATGAGGGCTTGCCAGGATTTCTCGACTCCAGTCAGGAAGTTGTGGGTTGGTTTTCATACCCAGGGCTATTGGTGCTGATCTGCCT